ACATCGTTTTGGACTTGTAATTTATCGCCAGTTGTTATCGCCTGTGTCAAAACCATTCAGTATTCGAACCCTATTCATCTGGCTGGTATCGTATGACCCTATTTATACAAACCCTATTCGCCTAGCTGGTATGGTATGACACACTTCAAGAACTCGAATTCTTTAATTCTCTCCTTCCCATAAAGTATTATTTGAAATTTTGGAGGACTGTATTTTAAACGACAAACTCTAGTTTCTTTCTCACCTTTTTTTCCGTTAGTTACATTAATTTATATGCACGAGAGTCCATGGAAGATAAATCAAGTCTGGTAATAGCGGTGCTTTATGTAAAATTTCATATCTCAGCACATCAATGCTCAAGAGGAATTCTCTTCGTGTAGTAAATTAAAAAGAAAAATTCAGCTGAAACAGTTTGAAACAGTCGTATGAAAGATATTTAGTATTTACCATGCTATGGCTAAAAAAAATTTCTATTGATTTTTAAACGTTATATCTTTACATGATTTTGTTTAGCATGAACTTTCTCTTTGTTGGTATATTTGTATCGTCATATTTTAAAATTACGTTTTGATCCCTTTGTAAAGATTCGAAGCTCTTGAAAACTTCAATACGCATGTATTTAAAAGAATCTGCATGATCGTATACACGTTCCACGCATTGTGAAAAAGCGATTGTACCAAAAGCCATCAAATTTTGAATAATGTAATTCTCCACACTAACATGTGCACGTGGAATTTCGAATTTGTTTTATTATTTATTTCACATTTTGTAAACTTTTAATGAATTTTTAATTAACAAACTCAACAATTTGAAACAGAGCGCTGGCAATTCCTCGCAGTGCTCGAAATAAAACATTTTTTATTTTTTATTTCCGGCCCACCAGACAGGTTGCCGCTGCCGGAAATAAAATACATTCATCTTCCACGCATTAGTGTACTGCCATTAAGTAAAATTTCATCTGATAGGTTTTTGACTAATTAAGCTGAGCTATTTAAATGAGATAAACACAGTTCTTAATAACATTTTTCTCCTTTTTAATGTCAAATATTCCAATAAACTTGCATTAAAATCATGAAATGATATAGATATGAATTACATTAGATATATTCAATATTTTTATGAAACTACGCGAGCTAGTGTCATTAAAATCATTATAGACTTTATCCTTTCTATAACAACTATATTAGGCGGCTGTCGGCTAGTTTTTAAAAAAATAATGTAGCGATTATAAAAATATTTTTGCGTTTCTTACGGGTTCGTAGATTTGGAGTGATTGATTCTTGCATGCGTACAATTCGTAATGGATTGAATGGACACAAGTCCGATAATAGCTTGATAAAAAAATTTTTACCAAAGAACATTTCACAGTTTTGGAACTTTATACAGAAGTAGTTGTACAACTCTCCACACTATCACAGAGTAGAATCAGTAATTACACTTCAAACTACTAAGGACGTTAAACACAAAGCAATGCAAAGCGGCTCTAAACAGCGATGCTAAGACGGATATCTCATTACTCCGAATTCAAACAACAAAAAACTCTAAACTAACAACTACTGACAGCAAATACTCTCTCCAGTCTTAAATAGTTTTCATCCGGCTGCCGAAAAATCTCTGGTAAATTCCATTCCTCGAAATTACTGGAAGGCATATATGGTTAAAGTTAAAAGTGCCGGATTACGGTTACAGTTGCATATATAGATTAATTACACTTATTCAATTGCAATGTCCATTAAAATGATACAGAATCGGACGAAAACTTCGCCAAATTTATCCACAAAAATTAGTCGCCAAAACCATGGCGACCGGCTTTGCGTTATCTCGCCAATTTCCATTTACTCAGTGTTAAATAGGCTTGCCCCTGTATTCTATTTGTTTTTGCAGAACATCGTCTCTTTAGATTTTCATGCTACATTATACATAAAATATAGAACAATTTCGCATAAAATTATTTACTTAGATGCAAAATTCGTAACATTACTAATATTTATTGATATAATTAAACGCAACTGAATTTTGTGTGTGTGTCTGTGATTATGGCAAAAGCCTCGAGGGCTATCTCGCCTAAGGGAAAGGATGCCTTCGTGGAGGACTTTCTAAGAAAAACTGGCTCGTATACACATTACACATGGGGAAAACCTCGAAAACGCCCATGCAGCCAGCCCGTTCGCGGGATTCGAACCTCGTACCGAACTACCAGTGTTCAGCGACTTTACCGCTCGGCCGCTGGTGGGCATAATTAAACGCAAAGAACCTAGTTTATGCGCAAGCCAATTTCTAGCCACACTCGTTTATACGCCTTAGTCTTTAACCATCATAGGAAAACCCTTAGAAACAATGTACTATTTTAGAAATATATGTTTAAAACTACCGTAAGTTATCAAACTAAATGATTTTAGAAGCTATTAAAATTAAAATTAAAACAGCATCTTTACATATATATATTAAATAAAGAATAGGGAAGATAAAATGCTTTTTAATTTGAAATACTCCTTAATTTTCTTTTTTAATTATGGTTATTTGACCTTTTAAATCTTAAACTTACTTACAACAGATCTCATTAAATAGTCATTTCAAATTTAATCTTCTTTAGAATGATTCAATTCAAATTCTTTGCAATTTTATATACTATAACACTTCAGCCAATAATAATATTTAAATCTGAGCACTAAAACTGAAATTTACCAATTAAAATGGATGTTGACTAAAATTCAGTCAGTTTTATCCATACCTTCGAGATATCATTTGCGAGTTTCTTCTCCTCTTCTTTCCCCAGCTAGCTTACTGTCGCCTTCTTTCTAACTTATCGGCAAATACGCCAAAACAAATGTAAACATTTATTAAAGAAAAAGAATGTGTATTGTTCCAGCTTATCAATGTTTGTCAAGAAATTGTTTATCAAGACATAACATGTCTGTTTTTTTTTTTTTTTTTTTTTTTTTTTTTTTTTTTTTTTTTAAGAATTAAAATATGTATGTGTGCCACGATTGATGTAATATCTTTTAGGCATCATCACTTCGTCATCAGCTTCCAGATTAGTGCATCATAAATAACTTGATCAATTTAACGATGACCTCAGGATCCCGAGATACGATGTCAATGCAACTTTTTCATACTAAGTACAATTTTTTTTCCCCTACACTAATATGTGATTTTCACCTGCCTCTATTGCACCAGCCATTGCACTAGGGCTCAGGTACTGGTAAACAGTCTGTCTAGCTAATTGCCTCACTTCTTTATTTCTTATCAGTTACCCCCATAAGGACAACCAGCTTAGATGATGTTAGCTTAGATTAGGAAATGGGTATACACATCCCTATCAAGAAATAAAAGTTTTTTGCTCTGGATATGCATTTCGTCGCAGTAAAAGGAAGACAGATTTTCCCAGGAGCACTATGGTGGACATCCAAATCTACATTGCACAAATACATGCAGTACTGCGGAAGCATTACACTAATTTTGTTATACAAGCAAGTTATGCAGGACAAGCAAAGTGTGCTTAAAGCAATATGCATGATTTAATCATTTACTTCGAAGAAATGGATTACACATATCACCGAAGGTGATGTGACAGCCCTCAATGGTTAATGCAATAGCCGCGGATGTTCTTCAAACCATAAGGTAGAAGGCCAGAATAAGCGACAATCCTACCTGACGAGCTGCAAGCAATCTACATCTACATAGAACTATCACGCTTATGGATCAAAGCATTTTTCCACCATCAAAGCATTTTTTCGCCATGAATGGTAAGTGAACAGGAAGAACTGTGTTTATTGAACGAACACCAATAATAATAACTTCTAATGCAACTGCGCCGATGCCAAAGTGATGATATGAATTGGAGTGACGAATGGTTTTTCTTTGAGTCCACAGTTTGGTTTTTCAAACTTTTCCAATCCAGAAGTTATACGTCATTCAGTGTGACGGCCACAAATTATACATTAGTGCCGTCCACGCACACAATTCCAGAATTGCGAGCATGTTATCCGTCTGAGAAAACCGTTTGAATGCAAGACAATGCGGCACTATATGTGGCCAAAAGCGTGAGATAGTTGTTTCATATTCGTTTCTGTAATCAAATAATCTTCTGTCATTTCTCATTCTATAGGCCTACCATTATCCAGATTTAACATTCTGTATTTCTGTCTCTGGGCTTATCTTGACTCAAGGTCGACGGAAATAACTTCCGTGCAATTAGTAGCTTAATTTAAAGCGCCATAAAGAATGTCTTGAACTTTCCACTTCATATTCGTGACGAGTAATTATCTCTGCCATTGTTTTTGATAACATTTGTCATATCAAACATTTGTAATCTCTCCCTGTAATACTCAGTGTCTTTTCACTTTTACAATTATCGTTTGCTATATTTCTTGTTAATTTTCTGTAATTTTTATCGTATTGCTGTATTATGATCTAAAGACATATATCAATATTGTTTCGCTTTACCCACACCAGTCTAAATCTTCATACAGTTTTCGTCACGCAGAAATTCATGCCGCCGTTAAATTTCGGCGACTGTGTTTGGAAATGTTCGAGTTACAATCAAATTAATTGTAACTGTAACGCATTTTCTATCCTTACCTTGTGCACCGCGTGCCATCTTGCACCTACCCTACAAAATCAGCAAAGATATTTTATTTCCGAGGTTGCCATTGGTTTATCAAGTTTCATACACGTACAGTCTTTTGGGAAAAAAAAAAGCACGCTTAAAAAGTAATCCAATCCTCTCGAAATTTCCTATGCAAACATCCTTCATACCAAATATGCAAATGATTAAATTTTCAAGGCCAGTGAGTGTTAACTTCAGGCAATGGTGCGCTTTTCTACTGTGCAACTAACATCGTGTAAAACAAATAACAATAGCAAACGGTTTATTTTTTCTCGTTGTCGGCGTTGCAGTTGGCTAATAGCACAGCCAATAATGAAATAGGAGACGCTGTCGATGACTTTGCATATAATTGGGCCACTTCAAAACTGGTCGTATAGTAGGAATGCATGAAGCGAGCTGGTCATACCGAACAATAGGATAACCTTTTGGGCTGAAAACGGCAGGGCTGCTTGACTGAAGGATGTTATGAACATGGTTGCCAAATTCTGGCGCATTCTAAAAATTTGGCGACTTCTACTTGCTTTAATACGTAAGTAAATTTTTTAACCATTTTGCATTGTTTTGCTATATTAATTGTAAAGCAAAGCGCGGTGATTACTTTGCTAACTATTGAAGAAGGAAAAAGTGATTAGTTTCAAAACGCTGCAGCGCAAATTTTCTCTATCGCATCTAATTTTGCTTGCTTTCTGGTATCCTTGACTAATGAGTAGGATTTTGCATTATGATTCCGGAAATCATACGTTATTTGAAGAAATATACAAACCAAAAGTTCCGAAGATTTACCTCTATTTTTGCCGCTGACTGAAAATGTAAATAAAATTTTACTAGTCATTTTGTTATGCCCGTTAATTTAGTTGAGTATTTTACCCATTTGCAAAGAGAAACACTACATTCATTATTACCTTTATTACACATTCATTATTTAACATCCAGTCGGAACGGGCAGAAAAGGCTAAGCAACTGTTAACTGGTATTAAGTACGTGGAAGATACCATTTACATATGCTTGTGTCTTACGCTTGACTAAACATGAATATCCGAACTTTTGGCGTACTCCTATTGTAAGTAGCATGCAAAAGATCAACGCAAAGTTGGCTCAAAATTTAACCAGCGTAGGTATCAACTGCTGCTAATTATAATATAAGGCTGACGACTGCAAATGTTATCGTATCTAGCAACTTAGTAACGTGGCCTCGACAGGCAGAGCACGCTCTGTCTTGCAATCTAGAAGTCTCGCCTTGAATATCCGCAAATGAAATTCGAATTCTTGCGTTAAAACAGAAGGGAGAAGTAATAGTAAAGATAAATAACTGGTTAATTAACATAAAAGAACCTCACAAGCATAACATTTGAATCAATTTTTCTTTTATACGGAATTGCATTTAATCCAAGTATACTTAATATCCTCTGAAATATTGATTGGTGCGTGTAATGTAAACCGTTTACTATGCGTAGATATCTGTATTTACAGGGAAATAAAAATGATAAATATTCAGTTATGTTGTAGTGACATTAGAATATTTTTGAATGCAGGCAAGATGAAAAATGAGCAAATGCCTTCACCGGGAATCGAACCACAGATCTCTGGAATACCGGTCCAGCGTGCAGACCACTGCACCCCGAAGGCACGCTAGGAAAGCAGTAGAAATACCTTATAATGGAAGATTGTTGCCTCCGCGTAAAATGTATGGAAAGGTGGCAGATTAATAAAAATTCCAAAATCAACGTCGAAATTTGAAGTTTTTTAAAGTTACATATCGCAATTAAAGTAATAATGGTTAATTATTTTTTTCATTTTCATATTAATCGTAAAGCTACGTAACCAAATAGCTTACGGTCAAAAACGAACAGTTTATTTGTTTATTTAGCTTACTTTTCAAATTGACTTTAAATGTCAATTCTATTCAGATCCGTGGTTAAAAAATGCCGTATTTGCAGTAGATGTACATTTGATGTTTTGGAAACCTTTTACAAAGTTTTCTAAGAAAACGATCATTGCCTCAAGAAAATAGTACATTTCTTACATGAAACACCTCTGACGTAAACGAATGAATGACAAGCAACTGCCTCTTATTCATTCGAACTTCTCCATCATTCTCTTCCATTACTTCTTCAGTCATCACGCAGACGATAGATGAATGCATTATCATATTTTCTGAAAAAAAAAAAACATTACGTAAGACTGTATTCTCTTTGCTTTATTTGCATTTATTTCTGAATGTGATATATTTTTGAAATTTCAGTCCTCTTAAAATGTAAAGTTAAATTTTATTCTGTTATTAGTTTTAAGTCTCTTTCGTGGCAAATTAAGCGTTCACTTAAAATATGTTGTGTATTATTTTTGTTATATATCATGCTTAGGAAATAATAATTTCTTTATCTAATAATTGCTTAAAATTTAAACCTTATTATTTTTTATATTTTAATTTATTTAATTTTATTCACAAAATTTTATTTGTGCTCAGTTTTTCGAAAATCATTCAAATGTATTCTGCTCAAAAAAAAAAAAAAAAAAAAAAAAAAAAAAAAAAAAAAAAATGTGATAGTGCTATATCTCCGTTCTGCTGGGCCGATTGACAAAATTCAAATTGCGTTTTTCATGTCTCGAAAGCGCGACTTAGGATATATATTATATTTATATATAGCACTATTCTAACATAGGTACTTTGACACAAAATCGGACTTTTTCTGAAATAACATACCAATTTTTTGCATATTTCGATTCTACGACTCAAATTATGCCAGAATACCAAGTTTTGTAAAAATTGTACGAGTAGTTTTTAAAATATTAGCTCTCAAAAGTTTAGCTCCTCAATGTTAATTGAATTTGGCAAATATTTATTAGTATCTTTTTTTATTAAACTTTTTTGATTTTTACTTTCACATTTCGAAATTTAGGTTCATTCCAAATAAAATTTACCAATTTTTTGTGCTTTATTTTTTAAATTTCTATTTTTAAATAATTTTTATAAATTTTTCGAAAACAATTTTGAAAACTATAACCTATAAAATTTTTACCATCATCTTAAATTAGGTGTATTTCTAAGCATACCTGCAAAAAATTAGACTTTTTTATTCAAAATTTTCTAAGATATACACGAATTTACATAATTTCGCGTTTTGAAATTTGGCACTTTTTTTTTGAGCGATAATAACGCCAAATGTACTTTATGGATTTTTGTTACAGTAAATTGCCACAGCTATTTTTAACCTTAAATTTCAATTAAAATTATACGGAGAAATAATTATATGAAATTTTTCTCCTCAATGATTCGTAATAAATAGTTATTAATACTATATGAAAAGCTATTTTTTTAAATTATGGATGATATTATTCAAATTTTTAACTATTTTTTTTTTAATTTCACTCTTTCTTCCTTTTTTTAAAAAAATAAGAGTAAATTTTTGTAAGAGTAAATTTTTACCTTCGGCGTTTTATCGTCTACTACTTTACTTTAACTTTGTTTAAATCGAGTCTAAAACTGAGAATTTCCGTTTGATGTTTATTTTATGAAAATATTTTATTACATTAACTGCATAATTTATTTCTAAAGAAACTGTTGCTTATGAAGTGGCTGAAAGAGCGGCTGATACTATCATCCATATTTTTAAAGCACAGTATATTTTTATAGAAACATAAGATTTAGAATAATCATTTTTATAAAAGTCAAATTATGATATAAACATACAATCATCTAGAGACTGAATTAATAGAAGTTCAATGGTTATGTAGAAATGATATACAGCTACTTAATGGCTGGATAAGTCAGAAGGTTCTGTGAACAAGTAAGAATAATTATATAAACGACACCCAACATTCTGGATTCAATTAACAACGAGGATACGATGTTTATTAAATGAATTTAAGAAGTTTTAAAAAATAAAAAAATAATAAAAAAAAATCTGAAATGTTTCAGATTTTAAATTACGTCCAAAGGGGCGTTTTTTTAACGTTTTGAGTGTTACCTTTATTTATTAAATATCATGTTCTTTGCACTTAAACCATAAAATTCAGTTCAAGAGCAATATCGCAAAATAATGTTAAATTAAGTATATCTTTTAGAATTTCCGATACACAGTCTCGCGAGCTGGAGATAAAAAGTATTTTTTTTCTATATAACGTTGCCATTTCTCGCTTTTTAAAGCATTGAGTTTGTAAATCAAAAATTCGTTAAAGTTTTACAAAAATATAAAATCTATAATAAAACAAATTCCAAATTTGGGATTTCAGATGCCCATATTTGCAGTAGGATTTCGTCATTCAAAATTCGATGGCTCTATGTACCCATTGTTTTATCACAATGCGAGAAATAGACAATCATTTATGCAGATTTTTCATTATTTAATTTCTTCAAATATAATGCAGGACTCTAACATTTTGTGGCAACAGTTTGAAAAGTGAACCGACGTTTATGAGTCCGACGCAAAATCGCAAAACGAAAACAATAGTCCTTCAGGGACAAAGCCCCTTTGGACTAAAAATCAACTCATATTTTATCCTAAAATGTATTTTTGTGCGTAGCGTATTTTCATTATATCCTTAAAATTCTAATTTAGAATGTAATTGTCAAGAACTGAATCCTTCATCAGTAATATAATAAGTAATTATTACGGTTATTAATAAATTCTTCTTATAAAGTAATTGCAATTATTTCAAAAAACTTTCTGTCTGAATGCAAATATGTTTCTATGCAAATATTTTTAATTTTATATTAATCAAGATTGAACACGATATTATTTATTTACACTTCAATTCTTACCGTCAGCTCTAGTAGATGTTACAAATCAATTATATTTAATTAAGGAATGACCATCTAAGTTTAGAAACAACGTACCATAACAGCAATTCAATTATTGGCGCCGTATCTTTCATGTTACTCATGTTACTTTCATGTTACATGTTACATGTTACAAGCTATATGATTTTTAATGAGTATTCGGGTTTTGCTAGTAACTTCAATTGGAAATCGCACTTAAACTAGGTTAGTTGGTTATTTGAACATAGAAAGAACATGGGAGCTATTTGATTAAGATGCTTTCATAGAGAACCTTTGTAAAGAGAACCTAAACAACTACGAAAACCAACCATGTAAACCTGTGTTAGACTTCGCTACAAACAATTAGTATTTAACAATCTTCAAATGCTAGGCAACCGATGAGGCTCCAATTAAATTTCCAATCTGTGTGTGTGTGTGATTATGGCAAAGCCTTGAGGGCTTATCTGCCTAAGAGGTGGGATGCCTTCGTGGAGGATTTTCTAAGGGAAACTGGCTCGTATACACGTTATGCAGCCAGCCCGTTCGCGGGATTCGACCTCGGACCGAACTACCAGTGTTCAGCGACTTTACCGCTCGGCCGCTGGTGGGCTTAAAATCTCCAATCTAATATTTTATTTGTAAATATTTAAAATATTGTTGTATTCTTAGACACAAAAAGCAGAATTTAAGTTTTGTTAACTCGTTAGAAAACTATCAAGCCGTAGTGCAAATGAATATTCAATTTCTTTTGCAATAATTGTATTCACTTAATA